CTTCAACCTATCCGGTATCGTCTCCGACAGGCTGAGATTAGTCCAAATCACCATGATCTTATTCAGATTTTGATGGCTCTTCGTCCAGAGTATGAGGCTGTTCGTGCTTCTCTCTTACATCGTCATCCATCGCTTACTCTTGATGTTGCTATTCAAGAGATCACTTTTGAGGAGACTCGTCTTCAGTTAGCCAAGTCACCACAGTTTGAGTCTGCATTAATTGTGCCTGTTTCTGCTTCAGCTCCGTCACAGCAGCCTCGTCCACCAAACTCTGTTTATTGCCGGCTTTGCAAGACCTATAGTCACTCTTTTGCCACGTGTCCTAAAGTGGAGTGCCAGGTATGCTATGTTCAGGGTCATATTGCTCTGAATTGTCCAGCCAAGTCACAACGTTCGAGAGGTTCATTTTCTCGATATTGAGGGTCTCATGGATCTTCTTCATCGACCTTTTTTTCTGTTACAACGGCTATTATGATGCAAATTGGGCTGGAGATCCTACTGATCGTCGTTCCATTACTGGGTACTGCATCTTTCTGAGTGATTCACTCGTGTCTTTGGCGTACTTAGCTTTCAGATCGAGTGTTGAGTCTGAGTATCGTGCTCTTACTGATTCTACCTCCGAGCTATTATGGTTACGTCGGCTACTTGTTGATCTCGGTGCACCTCAGTCGTCGTGTACTGCTCTACATTGTGATAGCCAGAGTGCTACAAAGATGTCTCATAATGATACCTTTCATGAGCGCACCAAGCATATTGAGATTGACTGTCACCTCATTCGACAACATGTTGCACATGAGACTGTGAAGCTTGTTTTCGTCTCCTCTACGGATCAACCAGAGGATGTCTTCACGAAGTTTCTCATTCCCGGTCATCTTTGTTTACTTCTTAGCAAACTCAAGTTGATCTTCACTATGCCACCTTGAGTTTGAGCCAGCGCCCGCATGCGCAGCATCTGGCAGGCCGCCGGCCGAGCCAGCCCGACTGCCCGGTTCAGCAGACCGGCAGTCCGGTCCAGACCGGTACAGACCGGCTGGACCGGTTCAGTCAGTTATTGTCAGTTTTAGTCCCGGTTCTCAATTTCAGTATCATTTTCAGTTAAAACTCCGGGTCAAGTTCAGTTCAGTTAATTAATGTCAGTTCAGTTTCGTACTTAGCCGGTTTCAGTTATACCGAATAAGTCCGAATATCATGTCAGGTTCAGTAGAGCATCTTAACCTAATTAAACAGTTAAATTATCAGTCTGAGCATAGTCAATAGTAATTGTTTATATTATTTTCAGTTTGATCAGGCATCAGCACTACCATTCAGTTTCAGTTTCAGCAGTTCAGGTGGGGACTCAGACTAAGTACTACATTGTTTATAATTACGCTACCATGTTCAAGGTATGTATTTTCAGTATCCGCTCGGAATGGTCGCCGGTCCATTCTGGGTTCTAGTGGCCTAATCTAACCACTAGAGTGTGCACATGGTCCGGTATTAGTTTGTGCCGGGAGATTGCGGTATTAGTTTGTGCCGACAGATTTCAGTTATCAGTTACGTGACTTATGTCGGAGATCAGACCGGTATCAGATATCAGTTTCAGTTTCAGTTTCAGTTCAGTTATATATATGCTTAGTTCATGATATTGTTAAAGCGAAATCCCAGTTGTGGTTGTGGTCGCCCCAGTTCTTTCTCTTTTATTTTCCTTCTTCTTTGACTTCTTGTTTGACTTCTTGCTTTCCTTGCTCTTATCCTCTAAAGGGTGTCAATGGTTACTGGGAGTAAAAGACAGCATTTGTACGAATGAGCCATTGAACCGAACGATACCACTCGATCCACCCGCTTCAGTACGTCCTCGGTAGTTGTTGTTGATTGTAACCTTTTCATTGTACTTTTTCCTTGTCTTAGGAACCTGTGGTCTTGTCCCTGGTAGTCCCTCGTCTTCAATCGAATTGGGTTAGATTAGGCCACTAGAACCCAGAATGGACCGGCGACCATTCCGAGCGGATACTGAAAATACATACCTCGAATATGGTAGCGTAATTATAAACAATGTAGTACTTAGTCTGAGTCCCCACCTGAACTGCTGAAACTGAAATTGAATGGTAAGTTATATTTTGTATTGTAAGGTTAGATTAGATTAAGGCCCGACATAAGTGAGATCATCTTATGTCTTTATATACATGTATATACATTTGTAATTTAATACATCAGATATTTTTCCCACATTCTCACAAAGTAAAACTATTTGTCCTTGATAATACTACATTTAATTGTTCCGAATTATTTAAGTTAAAATGTGATAATATATTTAATTGTCCGAAACAACATTAATTAACGAGTTTCATAAAGCACTCTCCAGATATGTATATGGGATATTGGGATGTAAGGACTGAAAATATATGTCCATAACATAACCATGTCAATCACTTGACAACAAAAATTACATATATAATAACTTTACTCTCTTCTTTTTGTATTTTTCTCTTTTCTTCATGGATGTATTGATCCTTGATTG